ATCGTTATTATTATGATTATCATTGTAAAATAAATTAGGTCAGGTTAGAATAGATTATCATTAATATTATTATAATAATAATAATACTATTATTATTAATACTGAGTACTGGAAATAAATATAAAACTACAATAACCACCAAGAGCCACACATACATATACAGTTACAAACAGGTTTGGGAATTAAGAAAGGGAGACAAGACAAACAGTTAAAAATGGACCTATCCACTTCATAAAGGGAGGAGAGGATTTTGACAAAGCCACTTATTTCTCAAAAGCAAACACATCGTTAATATATACTGGTTACATGTATCCCAATCTTATCAACACTTACCATTCATGATTTCTACTTTGCTTTTTTGGCACCCTCTCACTAAAGTGACACAAATGAATAAAAAATATTTATTTAGAGTTGTTTACCTTATCAGTCCTCCATTATACCTCCGGGGGTGGCTAACATAAAGGCTTATGCTTCATGTAACCCTCTTATGAAATATTCTTCTTATTAGAACATTTACAGAATTATTAGTATGTCTAGCACTGAGCAGTGTCACTGGTTGCTGAAGTCACTGCAGTCATTGTAGTTTCTAGAGTCACTGTAGTCACTGCAGTCACTGTAGTCTCTAGTGTCATTGTAGTCACTGTAGTCTCTACTGTCACTGTATAGTCACTTTAGTCTCTACTGTCACTGCAGTCACTGTAGTCTCTAGTGTCATTGTAGTCACTGTAGTCTATACTGTCACTGTCTAGTCACTTTAGTCTCTAGTGTCATTGTAGTCACTGTAGTCTACAAGTAAATAAAAAAATTTCTATAAATAAGAAAAAGTATGGTTGTCAAAAAATAAAAGAAACAAGGGGGTTGAGTTCAATCATAATAATTATTATTAATTCAATTAATAATAATAAAAGTTAATTAATAAAAAATAATTATTCTAAAAAATAATACATAAATTTCAACCCTACTTTGCAGAATATGCTAATATTCAGACTACAATATAAATTAATGAATTTAAATTATTTATGCCTCTGTACTTAGTGATTGCCTTAATACATTGCTATGAGTATGATGTAAATTAAGTATTCTGATAAATAAAAATCAGAATTTTTACGTAGCATTGATTGAATAAATTACTGTCATCACAAGTGAAAATTCTAAACTACGGATGATTAGTTTGCTATTGCATTCTTTAATTTTTGTGATGCATTATCATAAAAATTAATAAAATTAAAATATTAATGTATACTTCTTAGTTTGATTTTAAAAGTAAAAGCATGGATGCATGTCTTTAGTATATATACATTTTTAAAATTTTGATCTGATTATGTTACATTGTTAGGAATTGTCAGTAGGGCCAACTCGCACACTTGCGTAGGCTGGAACTAAGCAGTTGGGTGTCATCTTCATAAC